AAAATGTGTATCTTAACAATCTACAACTACATATTATGATTTTTATGTCGTATGGTGAATAATTAGGGGCCACAAGGGACCAGATTGCTCAATTTTTTAAGCTTTACATCTCGAAAGTGAGAAATATTTTGATAAGTAATATTGAACAAAATATGTTCAAAATATTGTTTTAAACAATATGCAACCTTCCATTTTTCGCTAAACGTCCCCATTAAGGTGTTGAAGGGTCGGCCCCTAAATATTTCTTTTGCAAATAACTCGAAAACGAAAAAGAATCTCTGAATAGTTGTTGAACAAAAAGTGTTCAAAATCTTAAGTGCTTTAAGATGAAATAAAAAAAGGGGGCTGTGAATTCAAATTAGGGGCCAAAAGTCTTCAATCGATAACTCTTTAGCAGTTAATATTTTGTAATATATTACTGAAGCAAAGATGTTTATCTCAACCATTTACAATTATATATTATGATTTTAATGTCATATGGTACATAATTAGGGGCCATAAGGGGCCGAAATGCTCAATCTTTGACGCTTTTTATCTCGAAAGTGAGAAATATTTTGATAAGTAATATTGAACAAAAGATGTTTAAAATCATGTTCTGAACAATATGCAACCTTTCATTTTTTGCTAAACGTCCCCATTAAGGAATTAAAGGGTCGGCCCCTAAATATTTCTTTTGCAAAAAACTCGAAAACAAAAAGGAATCTCTGAAGAGTTGTTGAACAAAAAGTGTTCAAAAGCCTAAGGACTTTAAGATGAAATCAAGAAAAAGGGGCTGGGCACTCAAATTGGGGGCCATGAGGGGCCAAATGTCTACAATCGATAACTCTTTATCAGTTAATATTTTGTAATACATTACTGAAGCAAAGATGTTTATCTTAACCATTTACAACTAGATATTATGATTTTTATGTTGTATGGTACATAATTAGGGGCCTCAAGGGGCCAAAATGCTAAATCTTTGACGTTTTATATCTCAAAAGTGGGAAATATTTTGATAAGTAATATTGAACAAAAGATGTATAAAATCGTGTTCGGAACAATATGCAACCTTTCATTTTTCGCTAAACGTTCCCATTAAAGAGTTGAAGGGCTGTCCCCTAAATAATTCTTTGGGAAATAACTCGAAAATGAAACAGAATCTCTGAATAGTTATTGAACAAAAAGTGTTCAAAATCTAAAGAGCTTTAAGATGAAATCAAGAAAAAGGGGCTGGGCACTCAAATTAGGGGCCAAAAGTCTTCAATCGATAACTCTTCAGCAGTTAATTTTTTGTAATACATTACTGAAGCAAAGATGTTTATCTTAACCATTTACAACTATATATATTGATTTTTATGTCGTATGGTACATAAATAGGGACCAGGAGGGGCCAAAATGCTAAATCTTTGACGCTTTATATCTCAAAAGTGTGAAATATTTTGATAAGTAATATTGAACAAAAGATGTATAAAATTATGTTATGAACAATACAACCTTTCTTTTTTCGCTAAACGTCCGCATTAAAGAGTTGAAGGGCTGGCCCCTAAATATTTCTTTGGAAAATAACTCGAAAAACTTGAATTGTTGTTGAACAAAAAGTGTTCAAAATCTTAAGAGCTTTAATATGAAATCAAGGAAATGGGGCTGGGCACTCAAATTAGGGGCCAAGAGGGGGCAGATGTCTTCAATCGATAACTCTTTTAAAGTCAATATTTTGTAATACATTACTGAAGCAAAGATATTTATCTCAACCATTTACAACTATATATTATGATTTTTATGTCGTATTGTACATAATTGGGGACCACAAGGGGCCAAACTGCTAAATTTTTGACGTTTTATATCTCAGAAGTTAAAAATATTTTGATAAGTAATATTGAACAAAAGATTATATATCATGTTTCGAACAATATGCAACATTCCATTTTTCGCTAAACGTCCCCATTTAGGAAATTAAAGGGCTGGCCCATAAATATTTCTTTTGAAAATAAATCGAAAACGAAACACAACCTCTGAATACTTGTTAAATAAAATTTGTTCAAGATCATGAGAGGTTTAAGGTAAGAAAAGGGGGCTGGACACTCAGATTCAGGGCTGAGAGGGGCATAAAGTCTTGAATCGATAACTCTTTAGCAGTCAATATTTTGTAATACATTACTGAAGCAAAAATTATTTTTTCAACAATCAGCAGCTATATATTATGATTTTAATGTCGTATGGAACATAATTAGGGACCACAAGGGGTCAGAATGCTAAATCTTTAACGCTTTATATCTCGAAAGAGAAGAATATTTCGATAAGTAATATTGAACAAAAGATGTTCAAAATAATGTTTTGAGCAATATACAACCTTTCATTTTTCGCTAAACATTATGGTGTTAAAGGGTTGGCCCCTAAAAATTTCTTTTGCCAATAATTCAAAAACGAAAATGAATCTCTGAATAGTTGTTGAACACAAAGTGTTCAAATTTTAGAGAGCTTTAAGGTCTTGCTTTAAAGATAACATATCTGAAATATGAAAGTCCTAGTGTTTACCTTTCAAAAACTATGGCCAAAGTAAATGTTTGGAATTTTGGTGTAAAAGTGGTACAAATCCAAGGTCGAGGTCAAATTTAGTGGCACCCAAAGAAATGTCTTGTCACAAGGAAAACACCTGTGAAATATGAAAATCGTAGCTACGTTAAATCAAAAGTTATGGCCAAGGTTAAAGTTTTTGTGACGGACAGACAGCTAAACTGACTGACGGACAGATAATGCAGATTTTATGTGCCCTCGCTTTCGTGAAAGCAGGGGACAACAAATGTTACTTGTTCACCCCTTCCATTTGCCGGACAAAGTCCGTTGCCCCCTGCTCACCGCGGGGAGGTGGAAGTAGGATTTTGAGCAGGGTATATAATTTTTTCTTATTAATTATTTATTCCTTAATTACTTCACTAAAGACATTGTGAAATTACTTTTATGAATATTTACATCAATCAAACACATGTTTGTGAAATTACGATGTCTTGGAAGCATAACTGCTAACTTTATTCTAATTTCATCGAAATAACAGTATTTTCCCCAATCCTATTTATTACTTATGGATTTCTTAAAGCATTGTAACGTTTATTAAAGTTTGTACTTTCCCTCACCAAGTCTTGCTCCACGCACTAAAAAGTAGTATAGAATGACTTTTTGGTAACATGTGTGTTTGTTAATTCGAATTCTTGAGGAACAAATTTATTAAAACTCTAGCGGTTTTCAGAAATTTCCTTTCTTTTTGTTCATTGATAACTTTGAAACGTACAATCATAATATCACCAAAAGTTTTCTGGTATCAATTCCCGTTTTAATGCTCCATCAAATTTATATTCTTTTGACAATAAAACGATTTAAAGATAATATGGAAATCATTGGCATATTGTTTCTGCCGAAAACGGAAAAAAATTATAAATAACTTAATACACTTGGGTACGACATTCTGATCGATCACCAGGTTAGTAATCAATTTCCTTACAAAAGTGAAGTTGCAGCCTAGAAAGGGGATTAATTTACAATGATAATAAACGAAAATCTTGTCTGCACTATTTACATTTTTTCTTTAAAGTAATTATTCTGCAGAATATATATACAAATTCCAGGCATTTTTTTTTCATTTTTTTTAAACCTGGGATCAGTTAATCAAACATACAATATCTTTCTTCGCTGAAATAATTTTCAAATAACAGAAGGACAAATAAAACATTAAATATATACAATTTTACATCTATCGTATCTTTACTACAAATGTTTAATATATCTCCATTAAGTTCAGCTAGTAAACCTGCCCGATATCCCTGCAATATACACCATGCACTATATAATTCAAAACTTATATACAATATTAAATTCTACCTTCTTAACATTTTCTTTACACATTATAGAGTATCATTACAGGGTTCAATCTAAATCTAGCAACTGATTTTTAATATTTTAAGGGAGTTCAGTCTAAGCATTGTAAACTGATTTTTATTTACAGATGTGTATTTACATTCCCTGAGATCAAACTATCAACTGCAATCATTAATGTTTTGATTTTGTATACTTATATTCTGAATACTTTGTTTCAGACTTTCTAAATAAATTTGGCTAAACTAAGAGCTAAAATGAATAAACTTGATGTCTCCATATCAAATGAAAAAATACACTTTGAATAAAAGTAATCTTCTGTCACAGTGTAGTGAACAAAAATCTGTAACACAAACACTGCTTAAATGTAACGGGCTGTTTTAAAAATCTAGTAATTTCAGTAATAGAGTATCATGATAACTGCAACGTGTTTGAACTTTCTGAACGTCGTCTGAACTATTTACATTTCTCTTTAAAGTAATTATTCTGCAGAATATCATACACAAATTCCTGGATTTTGATCTGCTTCGTGTACGCTAATTTTTTTTTTTATATACCTGGGATCAATAATTCAAACGCATACAACAATCCTGTTCACCGTTTCAATAATATCAGAATAACAGAAGGACAAATAAAACATTAAATATATACAATCTTACATCTATCGTATCTTTACTACAAATGTTTAATATATCTTCATTAAGTTCAGCTAGTAAACCTACCTGATCCCTGCAATATATACTTGTACTAACGTATCAAAACTTATATACAACATTAAATTCTACCTGCTAAACATTTTCCTTACACATAAGTATTATTACAGGGTTCAATCTAAATCTGGCAACTGATTTTAATAATTTAAAGGGAGTTCAGTCTAAGCATTGTAAACTGATTTTTATTTACAGATGTGTATTTACATTCCCTGAGATCAAACTATCGACTGTAATCATGAATGTTATGATTTTGTAAGATAATATAATATTTTGTTTCAGACTTCCTAAATAAATACGGTTTATTAATTAGCTAAAATGAATAACTAAACTTGATATCTCCATATCAATGGAAAAGTACACTTTGAATAAAAGTAATCTTTCGTCATAATTCAGTGAAGAAAAATCTCTAACACAAACACTGCTTGAATGTATCGGACTGTTTTAAAAATCTAGGAATTTCAGTTGTAGAGCATCGTGATAACTGTAATATGTTGGAACTTTCTGAACGTCAATCTGTATCGAACTAGATACATAAACATGATCTAAAATTGTTCCACCCTCTGTTGTACTAAATGTCACAAGCTGTCTGAAGTTTCGATCTCTCATAAATCTTTGAATTGGGCCATTAGCACTGGCATTTTCATTGAAATCTCCTATGATGATGCTGTCTTGATCATTTGTTTTCAATTTGTCAAGAACATTCTGAAGATTCCGAAGGAACGGTGTCATTTTTGCCGTACATGGTCGATATACAATCAACAACAATATATTCTCCTTCAGTATTTTTACTGCTATGCCTTCAATATTCATCTTGGGCAGTTGGAGAACATCATAATAATTTTCCTCATCTTTCAAGTACAATCCAACTCCTCCACCTCTTGACAAATTGCGTAAACTCTGGTTTGAAACTGTGCTCTCGTCATATGCTTCTTTTCTAGGAAGATGATGAAATTGAAACCCCTGAAGAACATAATTCTCGATTTCTTCTCCCGATCTTAACCATGTCTCTGTCAAACAAATAATGCTTGCTTGTTGGATCCTTGTATCATTTTTCAGGTCTTCAAAATGATTGATCAAGCTCTGTATGTTATGCAGAACTATTTTCATTCCATTGGCAGGTAAGGTCCGTGAAGAGTCGACGAAAATGTATTTCTGCATTACGTTCAATGCTGCTTTTACCTCTGGGTCAGCATAAACAGTTCTTTGCAATTGAACAGGGTCTTCTGTATCAATAAAGAGACCACTTTTTGATGTAACCCTTGATAATGCAACATAAGCCTGGCCTGGTGCAAATACTTTGTCTAAATTTACAACAACTTTGTTTGTCGTCATCCCTTGCACCTTATGAGCTGTGCATGCCCAAGATAATCTGATTGGAAATTGGTGCCTAACCACCGTGGATACCTTGTCTTTTATCTCTTCTTGCACTCTTTCTATGAACACTATGTTCGTATTGCTTATGCTTTGTCCGGACTTCTTCCCAACATCCTTATTATCAAACACAACTCCTACAGCTTTGACAATTCTATCGCTGTTTTCTACAAAAGCAAACTGGCTGATATGTCCCATTACTCCATTCACAAGCCCATCCTCCACATTACAATTTCTTGTGAGCATTACCCTGGCATTAACAGACAATATCAACGAGCTTGGTAATCCATCGCTTTTCGATCTTGTCAAAGGTGTGGTTCTCCGCATGAGTTTCCCGGTTGTTTTGTCTTTCTTGTAGTCTTCAGCATCAATTTCCAGTAAATCTTCACAAGATTTCCTTAGCATTGACAAATTAAATGTATTAACCTCTTCGTTTGTAGAGAACACATGGAGAACATCTTCTGGTCCTTCCATGATACAGTCATCTAGCAGAGAACGTTGCTCCTCTGTTAATGGTTCATTTCTCTCTCTGACACGAAGGGAATTCAGAACTTCAGCAAAGCACAGATCTTCTCTCTGTCTCATTATCTCTTTTAATTCAATGACCTTAAACAAATCAAGCCGGTAGTCCATAGGATAACTCATATTTTCTTTGTAAAGTCTTTCATCTTTTCGCTGCTTAACAGGTGGAAGCTGGTAAAAGTCCCCTACAGCAATAACACAAACCCCTCCAAACGGTTCTTTGCATTTTTTAATTTGCACCAGTCTTTCGTGTATATAGTACAGTAGCCTTTTGTAAACCATTGATATCTCATCAATGATAAGAATTTGCAGATCTCCAATTTTTACTCTCAATTCACTGAGACTTTGTTCTCCAAGAGGTTCATACGGGAGGGGCAGAAACTTTGTTAACGAAAACAAGTGATGAAGAGTATTTCCACCAATATTGAAAGCCGCAGTTCCAGTAAATGCTGCGAGAAGAACTGATAGTCTATCTGGTTCAGACATTATCTGTGAAAGCAAACGTGATGCTTCATAATGGATGGCTTTTATCAGATGACTTTTTCCAGTTCCTGCACCCCCAGTAACAAATAAATGAAAGGGTTCACATTTCTCTCCTCTAATCTTTGCAAGACACCACTCACGCACCAAGTAAAATACTTCACTCTGTGTTTCATTCAGCCTTTGAAGAACAGGTAACATTTCCTCTCTTGTAATTGCACTTTGCTGAATATGATACATGACATCTGCATTATGTGTCTCGCTTTCGATCTCCGGTATAATATCCACATTTTCCTCCTGTGGTACTGAACTTTCCTTTCTCTGGGCTATACCTTCCCTTCTGAGAACCTCTGTTTCTGGACATATTCTTGACCACGCATCCTCGGGTTCACCAATCATCTCATATGTCTCCTGAGCATTGTCAATCACATCTTCATTTTTTGCATAACGTGAATGATTGAAATCCACAATTGCCTTCACAGATTCCTTTATTTTTCTGCCAGAAATTTTTACAAAGCCTGTCTCATAAAAATCTTCATATAACTCGAATCCTGGTGGTTTCAACTGTGCCTCTGTCCAATAAGGAAGAAAAAGTTGCAAAAGAGATTGATAGTATTTCTCTGACATTTTTTCAACACTGAACCTTGGATACCTAACAACAGCAGGTTGCGTTCTAGTTCTTCGTTGAACAAATCCTTTCCCATTCTGCAATTCAAAGACATTTTGATTTTCCTTCTTAGGAACCTGGGATTTAGCAAGAACTCTGAACTCAGAACAAAATTCTGCAAGGCACATCTCTTGGAAAATTTGTTTTTCTGGTCTGTTCAAATAACGTTCTATAATGTTGGTCATCCAAACTTCATTCTCGTCTTCTTCTTCCTCATCAATTATTTCTGAAGCCCTTGATGATTTCTTCTTCAGAACAGATAATGGCTTACTTAAGCGCATCGGGTTGTCTCCTACAGGCACAAAAACAACTTTTCGAGAGCATTCTTTCATTTTTAAGTTACAGATTCTGTAAACTGCTTCCTGTGCACTCACTTCTCTGTGATGTAAGTAAGCAGAACCAATTTTTTTCATGGTCTGTTTCGCGTCGAGATTTCCTTCCTCAGCTTCTAACTTTGTTTGTTTGAGTAACATACCCATTTCCCTCTCTGACTTTGATATATAGGAAACAATATAAACAATGCAACTGAAAGGATCTAGTACAAACTGTATATCCATATTTGCATCCCAGGACTTCAGCAGACATCGGTTATATTGATTTGTCCATACCTCATGTGGGCATCGTTTGAGAATAATTGACTTTTTTGTCGATAGCATATTATGGGCTTCTTCGTACAGTTCCTGTGTAAGTGACAGATTATCAAATAATTCCTCTGTTGTTTTCATTGTGTCATCTTCACTTTGTACTCTATCCCAAACACTAAGTAATATCTCCTTTGCATATTCCTTGTTTACTTTTCTCACCGTTTCATCCTCATTTGAGGTCTCTTCGTCCTGTGTATTTGTAATGAATGTCTTTTGTGATGGAGGCCTCGGGAAATTAAACCTACATTCAGTACCCTTCTTTTTACAAGATTTTGAATGTTTTCTGCTGTGTTGCTGCACATCTAAGACACTTTTCCTCAGTTCTGCGTCATCACTTTCTGATGGTATAGCACATGTCACATACCTGTCAATGAAGCTACATACAACCTCTTCCCCATCAGAATCAATATTGGGTGCATTCTCAACCCAGTATAAGCAGTGCATATGAGGTGATCCTCTCTGCTGAAACTCCACTCTTTGAAAAAAGTCTACTACTTTTCCAATTGGTTCTGCTGGGGAAAGTATAACCTCCTTATGAAATACTTGAAATCTATGGTCAAACATTCTAGCCACTGTGACTGGATTGCATCTTAGAACTTCATTTTTTTCTGACCATTCCATTTCATCAGGATTTCTGTTATCATTCTGCTGTTGCAATATAGCTTTAACAGCGTCATTCCATCTGTACTCTGCTGCAGAAAATGAACAAAACCAAGTAGGGATGCCTAATTGTCGCAGCATTGCAAAGAGATCCTTTTGAGCACTTGCCCAATAAGCTGGTGTTCCTCTTATCGGTTGCATAAATCTTATTGCATCATCATTTCTCAGCAAACTACAGAGAGTAGTTGGATCTTGCAGCATGTTTATTGTTACAGGCTTCCCACTAGTACATTTTGAAAGTGACTTTCGAAGTGAAATTTGTGTTTTTTCTATCACTTGGTTCAATTCAGACATGTACTGGCTGAAGAAAATGTAATTGGTATCTTTAGCAAACCTGTCATCTGCATTCATTAACCTATTGTTGAAATACCTACAAAGTGTTATTTTTTCTGATCTTTCTTCATTCCAGGAAAAACGACCACTTGGAAAAAGACAAGGAAATGCCTTTGCTTCATTGCCAGGTTCCTGTAACATTCGAATAGGATTTTTCCCTTCACCTGGTGCAATATTGTACACATCATCAAAGTAGTGGTCTAAGACTTCCTGTGCAACATCAACAGGCTGCAAACATGTGTCAAATGAAACAATTTCCTCTTCAATATCTTCGTTGTCCTCTGTATTTACAACATCTGTCCTCTCCTCATGATTCGCCAAACCTTCTTCAATACTTGATTCAATTTTTACATCTTTGTACCAAAGGTTGTTTTCTTTCAAGTATGATAAAGCAGTCATGACATGGCTCATATTAACGAACTGATATTCAAAATAGCCTTTGTAATTCAATTTCCTTTTCAATTTAACACGTAACAACAAGTTCTCCTCCTGCTTCATTGGTAAACTGCCAGTCTTTTTCATATCTGAAGGCACACAAATAACAGGTCCATGAACATTTTTTTGCCCACCATGGGGTAGAGCCATGACCTTCATAAATGGTATATGAATTGCAATCAAATGCTGTTCTAAACTGTTCAATTTACACAACTCGGGTGGAATATCCTCCAGAATCATACTGTTGGCTGCAGCCTCAGCTGGTGCTTTTCCACTCATTATTTTCCTATGACATGTATAACAAATCCATAATGAAGACTTGGTACATGCTTCTGGGCATGAGTCAGAACATTCATGTAAATACTTGTCCAACAAACATATGTTAGAAATAGTTCTTGCTGATTCACTTTTCTCATACATCTGCCTTTCACAAGCTTGAACTTGACTTTTAAACAATAGCCTATGGCAACACGTACAAACAAAATCAGGTCCCTCCATTGCATTTTTCTTAAACAATCTGATAACTTCCTCTTCATGTTCCAAATTCAGTTGCTTCAGCCTTCTTATTTGTGAAACTTTTTCTTTTTTCTTCCTTTTCAATTCTGCAGATGAGTGATAGCCATCCTTACTACGTTTCTTCATTTCTGATTGGACTTCGGTATCAGTCTGATATCTCCTTGCTGCTTTTTCCTTCACAATTGCTTTAAAAGTTTCATTTGTACTGTATCTAAGAACATTAGCAGCTTTGTTTTTTATCCTATATGTTTCATTCTCTTTGTATTTTTTTAATACTCCCTGTTTTACTCTCGACTTGTGTACTGGGTCTGTTTTGTACTTTTCTGTGCTTCTTCTCTTAACATTGTCCCGATGTTCTAAATCTGTCCTGTATTTTTCAGTACTTGCCTTTTTTACATTTTCCTGATGTTCCAAGTTTGTCTTATACTTTTCAGTACTAGCCTTTTTTACATGTTCCTGGTGTTCCAAGTCAGTCCTGTACTTTTCAGTACTAGCTTTCTTGACATGTCTCTGATGTTCTATGTTTGCCCTGTACTTTCCTTTGCTCTTTTCCTTCACTTGTTCTCTGAACTGAGCATCACACTTGTACTTCTCTATACTTTTCCCCTTCTTCTCCTCTCTGTGTTCAACGTTAGTTGAGTACTTCAGTTTACTTCTTTTTCTACTTGCTCGTTGTACTTCCCTTCGTAGTTCTGAGTCTAAAGCATGATACCTTTCTTTGTTCTTCATCTGAGTTTTTAACTTATGCTCTGCATTTGAGTACATGTTTTTCTTTTGCTCCAACATTTTTTCCCGGAACTCTTCACTTTCCCTGTACTTTTTCCTAAATGTGTCTCTACGAGTTTCTTTTAACTTTAATGGCCTTTTCATTTGACAAGCATTTCGTTGTCCTTTCATTCGAAGTCGATTTCCTCTGCGCAAGTTATACTCTCTCTTGCTAGAACTGTTTTGGATGAATGATCCGTTTTCCAACATTCTTGCAGCTACACTTAAAACCACATCATAATGATTCTGCTGTCTGTGGTATAAATAAATAGCCCCATCATTTTCAACCACTTCATGATTTGGTTCTTCCCCACTGAATTGAATCCATTTCATATCTGAATAAGTATAAATGTCTATATTCAACATATGTGACATTGCAAGAATCTCCAATTCAGTAGCCCATATACCCTCCTCTGACATTTTATTGGAAAGTAAATATGACCTTAAGGATCCCTCAGACCTCATAAACTGCTGAAACTTTTGTTCATATTTCAACAAGTATTGACAAACAGCTTTTCGAAGATGCTGGTGATACTTCTCAGAGTTTGTTAGACTGTATGATATTGCCCTAAAAAAACAATTTCCATCTCCTTCTATCACTTTACAGTTGATAGGTGTATCCATGTCTTTAACGGGCCCTGCATAATATTCACATCTAGAATCAGAATAAGAAAATCCCAACTCTTTGCACAACTCCCTTTGTTTCTGTACAGATAAGGGAATAAAATCATGTTGTTTGACTTCCTCGCCCATAAAAATCACTTCCTCTATCTGCAATACCCCCGACTGTTCTGACAGTAACCCACATTCGTTTGATTCTTTCAACATTGCTGAATATCTCTTAGTTTCTTCATCAACTGAATGCATTGAGGCACCTTGCCTAAAACTTAAGTTTGCTTCTGAATGTTCTTGAGAACCTTCAGCCTCATAAACATCTGCAATACCAAAATGCTTCAGTGAACACAACACTCCAGTTAATTCACATTCAACAGTTCTTGAAAATCCCATAGAAAGAGCCAGAGACCTAAGATGAAAGTACACATCCTGAACATCCTTTAACAAAATTCTTGTACTCTTTCCTCTTACACTTAGATATCCCCGAGGGCATCGTGCATGTGAATCAAATATGAAAAATCCATCAGTAGTTTTTCCAATTAAAAGGGTATTTCCCCCAAAACACACAAAACACCCATTTGTTTCAGTAAGTGCCACTTGCAGAGCTTCAAAAAGAGGATAAGCATTAAAATCTTCATAACATGGCTCCTCCTCTGATAAGCTGATAAAACTTGGCACCGAGACCTTCACTGTAAAGTCAAATGTGTTGCTAAAGCATTCAAAATACTGTGGTAACTCATCAACTAACAAATACCTACTTGTAATTGAAGAACAGTTTTGCAGGTATGTGTAAAGTTCATCTCCATTCACTAAAACTTTGTTAACATCAGCTGTTTGCCATATTTGTGCACTTTTCAGAACATGATAAGCCAAACCTGATAAACAATTTGCAACACATTGAGTTCCTGCAGTGTCACCAAACATAGGATCAGCTTGATGGAAAGAGCCCTGGACAGATACAGTGTATAAACTTCTTGCTTTCAAATCATGATTTCCCTCATCCTGCACACTACAACCTTCTCCCTGATCACGTTCATTTACATCTTTCATATTCCAACTTTTACCATTTCTTTTTCCACTCACTTTTCTAAATACCTTACTCTCATTTGTTTCCTTCATTTCTTCCTTATCATCAGTTTTATCACTTGACTCTGTGACATTTTCTATGATCTCTGTATCATCTCTGAAATCCATCATACTTTCTACAGTCTCCAACATATCTCTTTCTCTGATTATACTTTCTATAATATCATGTTTTTCGTTCAAGTTTCCTTTTGATATTCGTTCAAATTCCTGTTTAGTATTCGTTAAAGTGCCCTCATCTTTTGATATCCTACTGGTCTCCTCCATCCTGGAGGTATCCAGCTGCGCCTGTCCTGCTGGATCAGACATATGCACTATGTCCGATCCAGGTGCCCTCGGTGGAGCACAAACCCACGGTGGGGAGTCAGTGGACGGTGCCTTGCCCTCGTCATGGACAAACAGACGACTTCCCCGAGGAGGTGACAACCTCGGGGCAGGTGAATGCATTTTCACTCGAGGTGAGGCCTGCACCCTGGCCAGGGGTTTTTCCTCTTTAGGTGGAAACCCCATGGAACCAAGCCCCGGAAAATTACCGGGAGGAGCTAAATCAGCTCCATCTACTGTTCCGCAGGGGACAGCAGACTGTTGTGGCGTCAGAGCTGAAACTTCATCTTGCAGAATCCCTGCAGGCTTTTGCCTCTGTTCTCTTTTTCTCATTTTGTCTTGTAGCATTCGCTGTCTCGTAGACATTTTCTTTCGCTTTGCCATCTGAAAAATCATTGATAATATACCATAGATTACTAGAACTGCCCTAAAAAAAAAATTATTTCCTTATATTTAAAGTAATACAGGCTGTTTGAAAGCCAATTTTTTAGTGAAACTAATTGCTTAAATGATTTGAAACACATGAAAAGTAAAATGAAAAAATACTTTCCAAAATATTTTACTATAGAAGTCGTTGTAATAACTAAACAATTAAGCAATATCTGCAATTCAGAATTCAGAATTTTCATGAATATTAATAAAGAAAGTGCATAAACAATAGGCCTATATATATATATAGACATATATGTCCACGGGAAATCATAGACATAAAGGTTTGTTGCATTTTAACAACGATTATTAATAAAAGGTTAATATTCCTCAAAACATAGTAGATGGTTGATACTGATCACCTGGGGATTCATGCTTTTAACAAACTTGAATCTACACTACCTGAGGATACTTCCATATTAATATGACCAATCATGGCTTTGTTATTCTGAAGATTTTTTAAGGAATTTCCTATATATTTCTATGAAAATCTTTGGTCAGCCATTGTGGCCCCACCCAAGACTCTAAGAGTCATGCATTGAACAAACTTGAATCTACACTACCTATTGCTTCCATAAAAATATGATCAATCATGCTTTTGTAATTCAGCAGATGATTTTTAGCAATTTTCATATTTCTATGTAAAATCGGCCACTGTGAACTTAAACCCCAGGAGTTATGATTTGTACAAACTTGAATCTACACTACCTAAAGATGTTTCCATATAAATATGAGCAATCATTTTTGCTATTCTTGTTAAGAAGATTTTTAAAGTATTTTCGTATTAATTTCTATCTATAAAAGCTATGGTCGGCCATTTTGTCCCCACCCTACCCCCTACCATTATCTCTCCTTGAATGAGGATATGGCTCTTCATTTGAGCAAGCTTGAATCCCCTTAACCCAAGGATTACTTTGTGGCAAGTTTGGTTGAAATTAGCCTGGTGGTTCTAGAGAAGTTGAAAATGTGAAAAGTTTGCAGACAGACAAACAGGCAGATGGACGCCAAACAAAATGTGATCAGAAAAGCTCACTTGGGCTTTCAGCTCGAATGAGCTAAATATATACCCCCTGATCTATCGATCCAAGCATATAAAAATCCATGTGCATTCAAATTTCTTATACATGTGCAACTCATCTGCATAATAAAAATATCTGAAAAAATGCACAAGTTATCCAGACAAATATGTGCTCTATATAACTTAAAATTTCCATTTATTATGACCTACTTGTACCTCAACAACTGAAATTTTCTCTCTTATATGTGTTCAATTGCTTTGCTATATTAAAACATCCAACCTTAAAAACCATTGAATGAATTTTTCTGAACATTTGAGATAACCTCAATGTAATATTTTGTGTTAAAACATTATATCCTTGAAACTATGAACATGAAATATGTCTAAAGTACAGGAATTCATCAGTATTACAACATGACAATTTGTCCTAGTCTAATAATTTCTATATATTTCTATGAAAATCGCAGTGATTAGTGGCTACAGTCATGAAGTAAGAAGTTAGTCCTTACGTTGCAGGTTCGAATCCCACTACAGGACGTGGAAACCAGTTCTTCGAATAAAAACATTTAAATCATGCTTTTGTTATTCTGCAGATGATTTTAAAAGAATGCCTCTGTGTGCGGAATATAGGAAAAAATTTGCAGCTCTAATTAGTAAGTGATGGCATCTGCATGCGAGTAAAAAATTCATGTGAGGGACGTTAAATAACAATCAAAGAAAAATGGAATTTAAAAAAATTCTTAAATATATCCCTTAACACTGTATGAGTTAAAAACATGTCTTTAATAGCAACATCAACTTGAAATAATTGTTACAATATTTGTCAAATTTAACCAAATTCTGTATGTGCATATCTTTACATACAAAATTTCTTTGAAACTGAAAGGTCACAATTAAGGTCTTTATCCCACTGATAAGAGACATATCTTCAAAAGTAATAAAATCCAAAAATATCCAAATATGTGATATTTATATGTACATATACTTCATAAACTATAATAATCGTTTAGGCTATCACAACCGTTAGAAAAAAAGTCTACATGCTTCTAACTTGGACTTATATTTTCTCTTTCGGATGATAAAGAAATCACCCATCCTTATGTAATGTAAAATGAATTTGTGCATTCACTACATTTATAATGAATAATATGATTTTACAAAACCTGCTATTCCAGAAAAAAATTTTCCTTACAAATCCAATTGTAAAACGCAAACCAATCTTTTTCTCAAGGGTACACAAAATAAATATGAACTATGGCTCTTAATGCATAAGATTTCAAATGCTCATGTTTTACAGCAGTGCCTGACATTCCCTCTAAACTTCATTTAATAAGGCACTCTATGCATCTTAGACTTTAACAACCTTTTTTCCTATGTATATCATGTAAATGTATATCATGTATATTGAAATGCTTATCAAGATGATGTGCATGCATATGCGAAAATAAACGTATCACTTTATCTACACTAACAAAATTTAAAAATGTACAAATATTAAGGCATCTAATAAAAAATATCGTTAAAAAAAATGTTAATTGTGTATGATTGTTTATTTTTTTTCCTTTTGTAAATGTGCCCGTGACGTCACGTCATGCATGTGCATGACAAATCTCTTGTGTTATTATTATAGGTATTACGTATTTTTTTTATTTCCTGAAATTTTCGGTAAAATTGATAGGTACGCGAACTCCTGTGATTTGAGCAAGCTTGAATCCCCTTAACCCAAGAATACTTTGTGCAAGTTTGGTTGAAATAAGCCTGGTGGTTCTAGAGAAGTTGAAAATGTGAAAAGTTTACAGACAGACCAACAGGCAGATGAACGCCAAACAAAATGTGATCAGAAAAGCTCACTTGGGCTTTCAGCTCGAATGAGCAAACAATATATACCCCCCGATCTATCGATCCAAGCATATAATAATCCATGTGCATGCAAATTTCTTATACATGTGCAACTCATCTTCTTAATAAAACAAGAGATGTTTGTAAAACACTTATGCCCCCCTCCCCCCTGATTGGAATTTTTCCAAGTCCAAGGGGCAAAACTCTGTCAAAAATGGCATGATTGTACCCAAAACAGAACTTGACCTAGATAATCATCTGACTAATATGTATACTAAATTTCATCTCAGCATGTGCTACCGTTGTGTAGAAACTGCAAATAATTGAAATTTTTCTAAGTCCAAGGGGCATAACTCTGTCAAAAATGGTGCGGTTGTACCCAAAACAGAACTTGACCTAGATATTCATGTGATATATCTGTAAATTTCCTCTCAGTATGTGCAACGATTGCAAAGATAATGAACGGAAACTGCAAATAATTGGAATTTATTTAAGTCCAAGGGGCATAACTCTGTCAAAAATGGTGCGATTGTACCCAAAACAGAACTTGGCTTAGATATTCATGTGATATATCTGTATACAAAATTTCATCTCAGTATGTGCAACGGTTGTAAAGAAAATGAACGGAAACTGCAAATAATTGGAATTTTTCTAAGTCAAAGGGGAATAACTCTGTCAAAAATGGTGCGATCATACCCAAAACAGAACTTGACCTAGATATTCATGTGATATATCTGTATACCAAATTTCATTTCAGTTTGTGCAACGGTTGCAAAGAAAATAAACGGAAACTAAGTGGACCGACAGACTGACGGACCGACAGACAGTAGCAAAGCAATATGCCCTCCCTTCTTCGAAGGGGGGCATAAATATCTTGAAAATATGCACGAATTATCCAGACAAATATGTGCTCTATATAACTTACTATTTCCATTTATTATGACTTACTTGTACCTCAACAACGGAAATTTATGTAATATTTTGTGTTAAAACATTATATCCCTGAAACCATGAACATGAAATATGTCTAAAGTACAGGAATTCATCAGTATTACAACATGACATTTTGTCCTAGTCTAATAATTTTTTTGAAAAAAAAAGTATACATGCTTCTAACTTGGACTTATATTTTCTCTTTCGGATGATCAAGAATTTACCAATCCTTATGTTATGTAAAATGAATTTGTGCATTCACTACATTTATAATGAATAATATGATTTTACAAAACCTGCTATTCCAGAAAAAAATTTTCCTTACAAATCCAATTGTAAAACTCTAAGCCCTTTCAATCTCAACTTTTCCCAAGGGTACACAAAATAAATGTGAATTAACACTACCTTGATGCATGCTTTTAAACTCCACTTGCAATGGTCCAGTTGTTTCCTAAAGAGTTTTTATTTTCTAATATCTGTATATACAAGGGTTCATAAAAATGTTATCAAATTATCTCTACATACTCACAAAACACAATTCAGACATGAATGAAATAAGACAAGCTTAATCTCACACATATTCTATAAATAACATATAGTATGACCCTACGGGTAATGATTTAAACAATTTAGAATTTACACTACACCAGTAAGCTTCCATTAAGAAATATAAATTTTTTAATGACTCTACCCTATTTCCTTCTTTTCTTGATCTCCTCCTTTATGATTGATTGATTGATTGTATGTTGTTTAACGTCCCTCTCGAGAATTTTTCTTTCATATGGAGACACCAACACTTGCCAGTGGAGGGCTACAAATTTTGTCCTGTGCTCGGCACTCAGGGCCTTTGAGCAGTGAGAGATCTTTTTCGTGCCTGCACCTAATGCGAAATGGGGCCTCGGTTTATACCATCTCATCCAAAGGAGTGGTCTCCACGTCCCACAGTGGGATTCGAACCTGTGACGTAAGGACTGACTCCTTACTTCCCGACTCTAGAGCAGACGCTCTTACCACTGCAAATTCCACGCGGGCGATTCCTCCTATTTAGAAGGGTGCTCGGTCAAATTATTACAAAGTGATTTTTACCTGCCCTTAACCATGTTTACCTTACGCTTATACATGCTTAAAATATGTGTATATTTCTTTC